TATTCTCGCCACCGCACGCCAACAACACAGTCGAGAAAGACCTGACAGTAGACAACAAAGCTATACAAGTCGTCTCCTCCTTCAAACTCGTGGGAATCACACTGGACCAACAGCTAAACTTCGAGAAACACATCAGCAACACTCAGACGAAAGCATACAAGGCGCTTAAGGCAATCAGCAAGATCACACAAGCAAAAAAGTCACCCAACCAAGAGGCCCACATCCTCCTGTACACAACCCTGGTTCGTCCCATGCTTGACTACGGAGCAGAATGCGTAGTTTCGGCCGGAAACAAGGTGGAGAAGACATACTCACCCATCCAAAGACAGGCACTCCTCGCTGCCACAGGGTGCTTGGAGAGAACTAGCACAGAGGCTCTTGAAGCCATCACAGGAGTACTACCAATTGATATACACCTCACATGCAGACAGGCTCAAACTTACCTAAGACTGACAACGAAACACACGGGAAACGCTATCTACGACACCATCTCCCACATGAGCACACGGAAGTCAAACACTCAAACTGGCACCCCAATCCACCTGCTGCAAACCAGATTCAATGAAATGAAGGGCGACATTGATGAACACATGATGGACAAGGAACCGTACTATGATGCAAGACTCCCTCCCTTCGCTATTGGCTCCATCACAGGCACATTCGTAACTGAAACCAACACTACAGAGGGAAAGGACAAGGCAAGAAGCAAAATCCTAGACATCCTGACAGAAATAACCAGCAGCACTACACCTACCACCGTAATATTCACAGATGGCTCTGCCCTTGGTAACCCAGGCCCCACTGGGTGTGCCGCAGTCATCTATGAAAGATGGGGTCACACAGAACCATTCGCAGTTCGCAAAGCAGTAGCCGCTAAGTCCAACAACTATGAGGGGGAACTGGAGGGACTTCATCTGGCCATAGACACCATCACCCGCAGACAAACCACAAGCAAGAGAGTACTCATCCTGTGTGACTGCAAAGCAGCAATCGAGAACGTCATAGGAGTACAGCAGGTGGAAGCCTACAACGCCCTGGTACACACCATCAGAAACAAACTACAAGCACTCCGACAGCAAGGTATCACCACACAAATCACATGGTGCCCAGGGCACATGGGTATCTCTGGTAATGAAATCGCAGATAACGAAGCTAAACTTGCAGCCAACGAGGCATCAACCAACCCCCAAAACAGCACATCCTGGACCAAGCATCAAGCCATGAAACACATTGAAACAAAAGCACATGAGAGATGGGATAGAAGAACAGAACTCAACATGACAAGTCAACACATGCTGAAGATAGGAACAAACATGAAGAAGAAAGGCAGAGCACTTGGTAGAAGAAGCACACAAGTCACCATCAACCAGCTGGTGAGCGGGCACACCAGACTCAATGCGTACCAGAACTGGAAAAACCCTGAAGTCTCACCATACTGCCCAAACTGCGACGCTCTGGAGACCACCAACCACTACCTGTACCACTGCCCCCGCTATGAGAACGAAAGGCATCACATGCTGATGGAAGCAGACAACATTCACGAGACCTACAACACAGCAAAGGAAGACAGAGACACGGACATCGTCACACTGGCCGGAATGAGAGTAGGACTTCCTGAAGGAGCAAACAACCAGATGTATCTAGCCCTCTCCCGGTACATCGAGAGTACGCGCCGATTTGACGTGCTCTCCTAGAAACACTCTCCGCTTCACACAAGCACGAGTCACCAAGTGTTAATACCTAGAGAGATCATTGACTCTGAACTGAACCAAGTGAAAAACTGAGCACCTAGAGACCACGTCTAGCGACATAATAGACGTTAAACAAGGACAACAACAACAACAACAACAACAAGCTCAGAAGAGGAGCAGTAACTGTACTTAGGTTTTGTTTTATATGGTGCACCCAAAAAAACATTTTGGTGCACCTAATTTTTTAGGTTGGGTGCACCAGTGCACCTATTCCCAAAAATGAATTTCGAGCCCTGTACCTAAACACGTTCCCAGCACGTTGGGGGAGGGGGGCGTCTTATTGTCCTCCCACGCTCAACTAAACAGAACCATAACCCTTACCCGATAACGAGCTTGTACAGCTGCTCCCTGTCCTTGATCCCGTCTACTTTGACGTTTGCAGTCATATCTGGAAGCAGCGTCGGTCCACAGGGCAGCAAAAATATGGATAGATTCGTTTTTTCACAAGAAAACCCTCTGGTTTGCAAATGCTGCCGCCTCTGGTAACCTTTTACCTTTGAACTACATACATATATTACTCCGCCGGTAACTCAAATATCCCTTTTTAAAGCTTCTCAAGGGTAGCAATTCGTTTACAAATGTAAATATCGACAAATCCACAATCTGAAAATAGGTAGTAACATTGGAATTGATTAGATTGATTCATGACGCATGTATTTAAAAGTTAAAGGACTATTTTTGTAGTCCGGTGAATGGCCACAGGATATGAAGTTGACCCGGGTGTTGTTAGGTCACAGATGACAACAAATGTTGACGTGTACTTACTACAGTGTAACACGTTATACCATTGACTCATGGACCATTTTTATAGACTCTAACTTCTGAAATAACATTATCAGACCTCCTTCTAGAAAAGAGGACCGTAAACAGTCATCGTGGAACTTTGAATCACAAATTGACGGGAGATTTTCTTTTTCCAACTTCGAAGGTTGATATACTGATACTGATAGTACCGCAGGACAGTATTTATTAATCCAACCGCCTGACTCGTACTTATGGTGAGTATGGAGTGTTTTCGTCATTCTGTACCTGCACTTTTCTTTACATAATGCGTGCTGCACTCTACTTTAGTATTTTACCTACTCTCCACACTTTTAGCCTGTCAGATCCATAATGCTTAAAATTATACTGTAAAGTGATTAAGCAAGGACATTATATATGTGTAACGTTACTGTATAATGTCCTTGTGATAAGTAACTTAAGTTACTTCACTACCAAAAATGTTTTTTTCTTATTTTTCTTATTTTCTTATGTTGAGAAATATTTTCTTGCCAGGGGGATTTTCAAGAAAATTCAAGAAACATTGAAGACTTCAAAGATTTTCTATGTTGATTCTTTTTTACACAAAGAATTTTATTCTTCTTTTTTCTTAAGAAAAGAAAATATTTCTACTATCATGCTCACCAACAAGAATCTTAAGAAATTTTAGAATTTTAAGAAAGTTTACAGTATTTTTTTCTACTTTTCTTGTGTACAGAATGGTTTTCTTCTTCAAGAACTGAGTTAGCTCTTAGTTCAAGAAATATTTTCTTATGGACAGAATCGTTTCCTTGCTACAGCAAGAAAACTCAGTTTCTTGAATTTTCTTGCTACGGGGATTCTTGAATTTCTTGTTCAAAGAATAATTTTCTTGCTACAAGATACCATTTCTTTGTATAAGGAAAACAAGAAAAACTAGAAAAAAAGCATTTTTGGTAGTGTTATCACAATGGTTGACAGGCAGGACGGGTGTGCCATTCAAATTAATGCCCTCAACTAACAGTATGTCTCAGTAGTTGTCCATAACTATTGTATAATATTGAATTGAATTTGTACGTACTAAGTAATATTGTATTTTGATATGCCTTGTATTTATGCACTTATGTGTCAGTGGTAGCTTCTACCAGCCTTTTTGCTACCTGGTTGCCACTTGTTATGCACTGTTGCATTTAAATAAACAAACAAACAAACAAATAACTTTGTCATAGTAATCTTGAGGACCTGGTCTAAATCCTCATGGCAGTATTTTTTTCCCCGTTTTCAAAACATTGTTAATCATTTTTCACCATCCATCATAAGGTTATAGGTTACAGTTGATGTACACAGTATTGTTAGGGTACAGTAAGTCTGTCCAAGGAGGTTATATAGATCTCCTTGGTCTGTCAACAATGGGGAAAATCTGGGAAAATGGGACTGGACTGCTTTTTCCACCAACCCAGCCAGTCAATATTAAAAAAATACTACCTCTACTCCGCAAGGAGGCAGAGGGGGGCAGAAGATCTACGCAAGTCTCGTCCTAGTCTCGCGTTCTCTTGCGGTATGTACCTTAGGATTTAATAGTCACTGATTGAAAGAATTATCTTACAGAACTTAAAGAAATAAAATCATTAATGTTACATACCGATACTGTAATTGTGTTTAAGGATTAAATTTAAACCGTATCTTGACTCCAGGGAAGGAGACAGGCGTATGTTTCCCGCCACCTTGGTGACAGCATAAACATGGAGCCTGGTGACGCCATTCTTCTGGCCATATTCCTGGTGGTCCTCCTCATAGTCTGTACGATCAGCAAGAGGAGTCGGAGGAACGGTGGACGTGAAGTCGTGGGAGAAACGCGGCGTGCGGCCGGGGGAGCACCGTCCGATGCACCGCCATCATACAGCAGTCTGTACCCTGATCTGGCACAGTCTGGCTCCCAGACATCAGCACGGCACAGCTTCACACGGATCAGGGACAGGTTCAACACACTACAGGACGTTAGTATGGCCATACGGGAGGCTGGGCTCGAGTCTAGTAACCTCATATTTGGTAAGTCAATATAGATATTAGTAACTGTTACAGTAGTAGCCTCTACCAGGCTTTGGAAGGTGGCTGGAAAGAGTAGGACGGCCAAATAGACTCAGAAAACAAGTAACATGCCGGGGGAGTTGGTCTGCTAAAGAGAACAATTTGCCGTTTGCTTCAGGAGCAGCAAACCATTCTCTCCAGCAGACCAACTCCCCTGATATCCTATCTCTCAATTTGGCCGATTTCTACTTTTTCCAGCCACCTCCCAAAGTCTGGTAGAGGCTACATGTAGCATGTTTTACATCAAACTGCTATACTAAAAAAGTGGTAATTAGTAAAGTATACCTCATCAAGTAAGTGTCATTTACATTTACATGACTCTTGCTAATTAGAAGTTATATAACCAACTAGCTTACATTGTACTAGCTTAGCTTGGAATCCATCCCTACAAAATAATTTGCTGGTTCTAGAAGTAACTGCTGCCTGTTAACTCCTAGAACCAAGAAATACATGACTGTGCAGGGAGTCGGTGAAACTCCGGAGGATGGCACCAAGGGTACCAAGAACCAGCTGTAACCAACATATCCAAAAATGTCATCAAGTCAAAGCATAAAGCACCAGAAAACCTGCACAACTGTATCTTCTCAAACTAAACCGTTCGGGCTGTCTCTCATTAGTCATTACAAACACAGAAAGTTCTTTCATTTCTGCACAAAGTACAAATGTATCTAAGGCCACACCAATTTAATTTCTTGGTTAACGGATTCGCCCGCTTCATTTTTTTCTAATTTGAAAATAAAAATAAAAATTCAGAATCAACTGCAAAATGCTCATATTTTGCCCTGAACAGTTGAAAACAGTCCTTTTCTTCCTAGTTGTTACAGTTATTCCATCTTTCAATGCAGTGGTATCATTAAAAGTTCAAAATTCAATGTTTAAATTTTGAACCAGCCTGGTGTGTTGACTTCATGGCTCCTTTCGTAC